CAGGCCTGCAGTTCATGCCCCAACAACAAAAAAGCCTAGATTTTCTGTGTCAGTGCTCACCTGATGGACTGTATTTGAGATCACTGAGCAGAGAGGTAGTCAGCGCCTCGGGTGGAGGTGATACAGGTTCACATATGTTTAGGTCTTCATCTTTCATTTTATCCATCCTGTCTCTCTCAGTGGTTAGACTATCCTTACCAAAACAAAAACAAAAATAAAAAACCAAAAACAACAACCATGAAATGAACTTGTTACTGGTTACTGTCTACAGCTTTTTTTTTTTTTGGGTCCGGTCGTGGGGCCTGAACTCTGGGCCTCGGCACTGTCCCTCAGCTCTTAAGCTCAAGGCTAGCGCTCTACCACTTGAACCACAGCCCCACTTCTGGTTTTTTCTTTTTGCTTATGTGGTGCTGAAGAATTGAACCCAGGGCCTCAGGCATGTAAGGCAAGTGCTCTACCACTGAGCCACCTTCCCAGCCCCTACAGACAGCTTTTGCCCCTCATTTCACAGCAAGGACTGTGTCCCCTCATTAAAAAGGGGTTCATTCGTCCACTGCTTCCAGTCTCAGCTGGAGGGTACTAGAAGAATGCACTCATGTTTTCCTTCTCATTTCTATTTCCCCAGGTCATTTTAGGTATCAAGCATCTAACGGATCAGAGGTAAGTCTAACCTCACGTGTACAACTAGAAAACCTCCTCACAGAGAATGATGCCGTCATACCTAATGGAAGATGTCTTTTCCCACGCTGCACCTTGCTCCACTTCGTCCAGTAGTTCCACTGAAAAAGAAAGAGATGGCTTCCTACAGCTTCCATGGGGAAAGCAATCATCCACCCCAGCCCTTACATCCAGCTTGACTATGCAAAGCACTGGAAATGTCACTCCCCAGAAGCCCTCCCCAGCCAGCAAAGTACAGGGCCAAACATGACTGTCCAAAGTACTGCAAATGCCCAAGATGACAGCCCTGGCTTCCTGGCACTTTTATTTTGCCTCCAAGTTGCCTTGTGATCATTCGCCCTAGCTCTAGAGATTTGTTCTTCTCAATCTTCCTGCAACTTCCTGCACACTATAGACTGCTAGAAGGCTTTCTCTTTAATCACTCACAGATTTTGGGGTTATGAAATAGGAATGGCATATACTTGAGTTATGTTTTCTAAAAATCCAAAAGAATTCAGGAATCTGAGACATTGGTTCTAACTTTTCAGAAAAGGGATAAAAGGGACGGGGAACAGATGTTGAACCTGTGATGACTTGTATACTTGTGTGTGTGTGTGTGTGTGTGTTTGCATATGCATGCATGGGGCTTGAACTCAGGGCCTAGAGGATGTTCTGACTTTCTGTGCTTAAGGCTAGTGTTCTACCACTTGAACCACAGCTCTACTTCCAGCTTTTTTTTGTTTGTTTGTTTATTGGAGATAAGGAGTCTCACAAACTTTCCTGCCCAGGCTGGCCTCAAACTGTGATCCTGAGCAGCTAGGATTATAGACATGAGGCACTTGGCTCTGTGATTTTTTTTTTTGGTCAGTCGTGGGGCTTTAACTCTGGGCCTGGGCGCTGTCCCTCATCTCTTCAGCTCAAGGCTAGCGCTCTACCACTTGAGCCACAGAGCCTCTTCCGGTTTTCTTGTGGTTAATTGAAGGTAAGATGTTCTTGCTCGGACTGACTTTGAATCACGATCCTCAGATCTCAGCCTCCTGCGTAGCTAGGATTACAGGCGTGAGCCACTGGCGCTAGGCAGTGATGTTTTAACTAGCTTATCAAATAAGACCACCTGTTTCTTTTCAGTTTCCTGACTCTGCTTACGGACTGTGTCCCTAGTGCCAAGCACCAGCAGACCTCACATTGGAAATCACAATGATTCCAATTCCATAAGACTGTTCTGAACAGCTGGGCGCCGGTTGCTCATGCCAGTAATCCTAGCTACTCAGGAGGATGAGATCTGAGGATCACAGTTCAAAGCCAGTCTGGGCAAGAAAGTCCATGAGACTCTTATCTCCAATAAACCACTAGAAAACCGGAAATGGCACTGTGGCTCAAGTGGTAGAGAACTGGCCTTGAGCTGAAGAATGCAGGGACAGCGCCCAGGCCCAGATTCAAGCCCTACAACCGACCAAAAAAAAAGCAAGACAACATCTTGTTTTATTTCAAACATTGGCAAGAGGCAGAAAAGAGACAAAAGAACTCCTGTACTCCCAATATCAACGTTCAGAGAACAGAGATGCTCACCATTTATGATCTCATGCCCAAAAAACAGCTTCACTCCCGGGGTGCTCCGGCCACTCTCCACATTCTTCACTGTTACAAAAGCAATTCACTTGGTTAATAAAAAAGTAGTATATCCGCCGCGCACTGGTGGCTCACACCTGTAATCCTAGCTACTCAGGAGGCTGAGATCTGAGGATCGCGGTTCAAAGCCAGCCCGGGCAGGA